ATTATTATTATTATTATTATTATTATTATTATTATTATTATTATTATTATTACAGAACGGATGTTTTGGATTTTCCAAATCAGTGACAAGATAGCTTTACAGATTTCTTTTCCCTAAAAGAACTTACTCCTTCAAGAGCCGCTGGTTCCTGAATCCTAGAGCTGTCTGACCTTTGACCTTTTGACCTTTTGGCAAAGGGCAGCACCCCCTCCGGCTCTGTTACTTGAGTCCCCAGGAGAGTGGCCCTGAGATCACGGAGGGACACCCAGGTCGCTTGGCACAATCCTGTGTATCCTGACACTCTGTGTAAGGGGGCCACGGGAGCTGGCTCTGCAGCCCTAAAGCATCTCATGCCCCCGAAAGATCTGACACAAGAAGCGGACTTTTCTTGTTAACACATGTGATTTCTGTAACGTGTGGCCTGATGCCCCCTGTAGGAGGAGGAATGGGTTCTGGACAGGAGCACGCTAGATTTCTGTGGGAAAATGATGCTCTGCTGGGCCACGGTCATACTGTGGGTAAGATGGGGGGGGGGAGTTTTGAGTGCCAGTGGGAGGACTAATGGTGTGTTTAACGCACTGTGCTCTGGGATAGCCTGGGCAGTGAACCTGTGTGAAAGGCAAGTGTCAAAGCCAAGTGCTTGATTCTGGACCAGCTTTAGAGTCTGCCAGTAAACACTGTCCAATCTTAATTAAACAATTAATGAGGGGCCAGAGGTCTGGGTTGATGGGACCTGCCTTGGGGGGAAACTCCTTGGTGGGGACCTCAAACAGTCCAAGGTGGGAGGGGGTGCACCTCGGGTCAGTAACAGGCTCAGGTGAGAGGCGCAGGGCTTCAGGAAGATCAGCGTGCTGCCCCCTGACCAGGTCATTCCTGGGCCTGACACCCTGTTTCACACAGTTTCAGTGTCCTGCTGCAGTGAGATTGATGAACCGCCGACTAACTGACTGTTCTTGCTCTGCTTGCTCACTGTTTAGGAAATGGAGCCTTACTTACCCTTAACCAGCAAGTGTGCACGCTTCTGTCTGTCTGGAGCGACCGTCATATTCTGGGTGAGCACCTTCAGTCACTCAGCAGTGACCTCCTCTTCCTCACCGTTCCTTGGGAGTATGAGCGAGAGGCAAACGGATTTAGTTAGAAAAGGATTCCCTCACACACCTGTGTCTTAACATCCCTGGAACGCAGTGCATGCACAGCAGTCCTGAATGAGAAAATAAAAATCATTCAGGTCAAATCTTTCGGGATGGTGAGTAAGGCAGGCAGAGGAATGGAAATGCTCCGATCAGCAGTCAGACTCAAAACAAGTAACAAGACTTGCTTCAGTGTAGTGTGTCAGTGGCCTGTTTAATCATGTTAAAGACATTTCCGGACCTGTGTTTGAGGTATTTACAAAACACTCGGCAGGTTTGTTGAAACGACTTGCTCTGTGCCACAGGGGGAGCTGTTAGACCAGGTCTGGTGAATCGATGACTTTAGGGAAAAGGCTATGTGAGACGTTAACAAGGTCTGTGCAGGATGGTAATGTTCTCCGTACTGCAGTGTAAACGTTCTGTGAATGTGATGTATTTCCGAGGCACTAGAAAGAAACGTTGGCTGTACAGTTCAATGTGTCCTTAGGGAGCACTGGGATTCACTGAGGAGCCCTGGGGTACAGTGGGGAGCAGGGGGTTCACTGGGGAGCCCCGGGGTACAGTGGGGAGCAGGGGGTTCACTAGGGAGCCCTGGGGTACAGTGGGGAGCGAGGGGTTCACGGGGGAGCCCTGGGGTACAGTGGGGGGCTCTGAGGTTCACTAGAGAGCCCTGAGATACGGGGGGAGCATGTGGTTCTCTGGGGAGCGCTGGGGTACAGTGGGAAGCAGGGGGTTCATTGGGGAGCACCGGGGTTCACTGGGGAGCCCTGGGGTACAGTGGGGAGCAGG